TGATGTTGATGTGGATGTATATGCAAGAGTAGATGTTGATGTAGCTTTCGGTTTAGATATATATGTTGCTTTCCTAGATCCTCCAACTCCTAGGTAGGGTCGCACTGGATAATTTGGCCGCGCGATTAGCCTTTAGCTTCCTTCGGAGGGCAAAAACAACCCTGGAGTGCCCTTTCAGGTCCTATGAGGTCCGAAGCTGGCTACAGAACGACCCCGAGAACCCACCCGTCTTCGACCCCGAAGACGAGGTCCGCAGACCTCAAGACCATCCCAGGATCGGTCGACCGAAAGGGGGCCCAAGACGACCCCAGGACACCCTTGACCCCAAGTCAAAGGGAAGGTTCAAGTCACGAGGTGGCCCCGGACGACCCCAGATGTCCGTGCGCCAGAACGTGTTGCGGATCGCCCCCAGGTGCTGGTGTCAGGGCTGGTGTCGGCGCCTGCGTAGGCGACGGCGTTGGTGCCCGCGTAGGCGCAGGCGTTGGTGCTGGCGTCGGTGCTGGCGTCGGCGCAGGCGTAGGCGCCGGCGTCCATGCTGACGCCCGCGCTGGTGCAGGCGCTGGCGCAAACGCCAGACCGAAACCTTGCGACCTCCCCCCCGTAATGGGACCCCCCGCATCCCTGGTCCAAGAAACTCTCTGGACGCCCCTGCAGAGGGTCTCCCGGGACTGCCAGACCTCCCGGACGTCCCTGCCAGGCCCAGCCAGCAGCCGAGCCGTTCGAGGGTGCCCGCGTGGCCCCGCGAGAGCCCCGAGCGGCCCCGCAGACCCACCAGACGCTCGAAGACAGCACAACAAAAATACCCCTAAGAGACCCTCTGAGCCCACATGACCACCTTAACATTTCGGTTGATGTACAATGTACAACTGTTCGGTTCTTCGGTCCTCTCTGGGCGTCCGAGACCGCCCGAGAGGCCTCCAATATCACCCCAAGACTAGCCGAAGAGGCGTCAAGACGGCCCAAGGGAGCCCCGATACAGCCCCACAGGCCCAAAGACGGTCCCAAGGTGGCCACAAGAAAGTTTCGAGGCGGCCCAAGGTGGCCCCAAGACGCTCCCCCAAAACGCTCCAAATCGGGACCCGGTCGTGGAGGGAAACAAGGAAGGGCAGGGCAGGAGGAGGAGGAGGAGGAGGAGGAGGAGGAGGAGGAGGAGGAGGAGGAGGAGGAGGCATGCTGCCCCCAAGGAGCCTCGGCGCTTGAACCCGACTATGCCCGGGGGCCCCGTGGAGTGCGCGCTGCACCGCGCGGCACGGCGCGGAGCCCCTGGAGGTCAAGAGGGCACAAGACTGTGCTGCTGCTGTCCGACGGAGGGCCGGGAACTCATTGCACACGAGAACCAGCAGGCTCCGGGGCGAGCCTCCCACGACGCGCGCGCGCCGTGGCTCCGGCCCGAGAGCAGAGAGCACCAGCAGGAGCGGGAGGAGCGGAGGGTTCAGGGAGGCCTCGCCCAGAACGTGGCCCTGGAAGGCGTCGGGGAGCCGGCTGCTGCACTGTGATTCGTGGAGGGCGAGGCCCCGAGGCGTGCAGACCGCGGGAGGGCCCTCCCCGATGATGCCCGCGCGGGCCCAGTGTGGCCTCGCAGCTCCCCGCGCAGGAAAGGGAGGGGCGCGGGAGGGCGGGCGCCCCCCCCCCCCCGGGGAGGTGCCATCCCGTGCCCCGCCGCGCCCTCTTGGCGCCGTGCGGGAGGAGCGCGGGGGGGGGGAGGGCCGGGCCAGGAGAGGGAGGACGACGATCGGCGACACCCTAGTTCAGAGTGGCCCTAGGTGCTCGCCGTCGCTCGGACGTCCATCCCTCGTGCATTTTTCGATGTCGTGCGTGCTGCTTTCGCGAAGTCATCCAGGATGCTCCTCCATGTTCCTCGCCGAGAAAAAATGCACACGTCCGAGCGATGCCAAGGGTAAGAGCGACCTCTGGTACGCGACTTTCGGGGGCCGCGGGAAGGCCGAACTGCGGCGCGAAGGCCGCTGCTATCGCATCGCGCTCAGCCATCTGGGGATCCCAATGTGCCCGCACCAGAGGTCACCCCAACGAAAGGCCGCTCTTGCGTGCAGCCGAGACGAGGACGGGCACGTCACCAGGCACACCTGCTCCAGGAGAGCCGTTTGCCAGCCTGGAACATATCCCTATCCCTATGCTGGGCATCTCCTCATCACGATGCCAATCTTAGGGATTCCCTTATTGTTGAGGGTCCACCCCTAAGATTCTCATCGCCTTTTGGCGTGTCAGTCATAGGGATAGGGATAAGTTCGCGGCTGGTATGTCGTGTGCCGACGTCGGGGCGCACGAGCAGGAGGAGCGCCGGCAGAAGCGGCCACGGGAGAGGTGGAGCAGAGAGTGTGGGGGGGGAGGGCCGAAGGAGTGAAGCAGCCAGACGCAGCGCAGCAGCGATGACGAAACCCGAGGTGGAACGACTCGTCGCCGTCGCCGTCGCCGTCGTCGTCGCCGTCGCCACCGCCGCTGTTGCCGTCGCCGTCGCCGTCACTGCCGCCGTCGCGCCGCGCGTCGCCGTCGTCGTCGTCGTCGTCGTCGTCGTCGCCGTCGCCGTCGCCGTCGTTGTCGTCGTTGTTCTTGTCGTCGTCGTCGTCGTCGTCGTCGTCGTCGTCGTCGTCGTCGTCGTCGACTGGTGAGCGTTTTCTAGTTCGACGTTTCGGCAGTCGCTCAGAGCAGTGACACATGCTGAGGAAGGCGTGCCCTTTGCCGAACAAAGGGTGCGGACGCCATGGTGCGAACTACCAAGCCAGGCCCTCATGTATAGATGTGTGTGTGTGTGTGTGCGTAGTTGCCATGTCTGAGGCTCGATACGGACACAGCGCGCTTCCCTGCCAGTAGGAAACATGCCCACAGCCTTCGGAATCGCCGTTTCCTGTGAAAAAGGTGTACACGTCTTCCTAAGACTGGTCACCCATCAAGATTCACACTGTGTACGGAATCACCCACTACCAACTGCTTGCCTTACGGGTTGCAAATCCAAGCGCTACCAATGCATTCCCAATGCATCTCTTCATCGATTGACTCGTGTTGGCTGCAGAAGACAAGCCTTGCACACAATCGAGAATGGACCGGGCATGGCCAGTCCCCCTAGCATGATTGGCCCAGACGCTACCGTAACTCCGTTTTGCCTCTGCCGTGTTGTAAATCCTCGATTCGCAAGCATGCATCGGGGACGCTCCAGTGGTCTACCCCGCGTAGAAGCGTCACTGCTGATCTACCTCTGCTGCCTTCTCCCCGGGAGCCGTGTACCCGCCAGACTGGCACACACGCGCCAGCAGCGGTCCGATTCGAGCCCTCTTGTGAGCTCTTGGGGTTGTTGTCATCTTGGAGCCCCTTGGGCAATGGCAATCAGCTGCGCCCCCACTCGGATCGCGCAAAAAACTCACGGGAACGATTCATGTTGCCCAGGATAAAGGGGCCCTGGGACACACATCTCCGTCATTCGTTGGTCGTCGTCTCTGTCGTCCCCTTTCCCTACCTCCCCCTTTCCCTGGGCTCGTCGAAGCTCCTCCCTTTCCCATGGACCTCCTCAGCGCGCCAACCAAAGCGAAGTTGAGCAACGTCGTCATGGAGTCGAAGTGAAGCCCCTTCCCTCCGATCCCTTCCCCGACGGGGGGGGGGTTCAGGGGGGGGTGTCAGATACGACGCCCCCCTGGAGCCCAAAAAAGCCCCAAGACGGGCCAAGAGTACCCCAAGAGGCCCCAAAGACAGTCCAAGAGAACCCCGAATCGCCGAACGATTTGTCCAAGACGCCTTGACGGCCTCCAGACGGCCCAAGAGGCCTGCAAAGCGCCCCAAGAGGCCTCCAGGAGCTTTCCTACGAGAGCCCCAAGAGGCAAAATTCATGGACTTCCCATACGTGTTTAAAAGATGTTGGCGTTCTTGCCTCTTCCGCTTCCCGATGCGCCAAGACGGCCCAAGAGGCCTCCAAGATCGCCCCGAGACGGCCCAAGAGGCTCCCAAGAGGGCCCCTTAACGGCCGAAGAGGGCCCCATGACGGCCCAAGACGACTCCAAGCAGGCCCAAGAGGCTCCAATATTGCCCCAAGACAGCGCAGGAGAGCCCCAAGTTGCCCAGGAGGCCTCCAAGAGTGCTTCGAGACGGCGCAAGATGAGCCTTGGACGGCCCAAGACGGCCTCAAGAGAGCCCCCGGCTGTCCCAAGAAAGCCTCTGGCCTCCTCCTCTTCCTCCTCCTCCTCCTCCTCCTCCTCCTCCTCCTCCTCCTCCTCCTACCCCCCTATGCTCCCCCTCCTCCTGCTCTCCTTCCTCTGCCTCCTTCTCCTCCTCATGCTTCTCCTCCACATCCTTCTCCCCCCTCCTCCTCCCTCATCCACCTCCCCCACCCTTCCTTCACCTCCCACTCATCCTCCTCCCCCTGCCCCCCCCTCGTTTTCATCCTCGTCGTTCTCCGGGTCGGCGGCACTGGCCGTAAGGCCTTCGCACTAGACACAAATAACAAGGATCCCCCATATTTGCCCATATGTGCTGGGTTTTTCTCTTCCCCCCCACTGCCCATATGTTTCCGTATTTTCCTGGGGGTCGACGATTACGTGTGTCTGTGTGTTTTTCCCCTCCTGACAGGAGCCTTCCCAAGGCGTCTTGGCGGCAGGCCTCGAGGGCCGTATTTGAAACCGCCTTGGGCCGTCCTGGAGCGCTCCCGGGCTGCCGCGGAGCCCTGGGCCGTCGGGGAGGCCCCTTCGCGCCCTGGACCATCTTGGAGGGTGAGCGAGGAGGCGTACAGTCGGGGCGTTGACCTAAGGAACCCTAAATAAGGAACGAGGCCCCTTTTTCCCATAAGTTCAACCTCGATTTCCCATGGAAACCTCAGGAAAACCCGAGGCAAACTGTGAAACAATCAAGGAACACGGAGCCCCTCCCCAACGAAAAGGGTTCCTTCTTCAGGGCCCCGACTGTAACACCAATAACAAGAGCCACAGCCTCAGAGGGAGAAAGCATGTCCGACGAGAACGCGCACGGATCAATGGATTGGGGGAAGGAAGGTTGGAGCAACAGGCTATCGGACCCAGTGCTTCTCCCTACACACGCGACAGAACAATCAGTTTGGAGGGGGAGGAGAAAGATGAGGGCAACAGGTGAGCCCCTCAGAAAGCACTCCAGAACGTTTTCGTTGCTTCGTGCCCTCAGGCTCCCTATGCAGAGAACTCCTGCAAGAGTGCACACGGCTACGAACGGCAATCTGCGATGCAACAGGTCGTGCGGGACAGCGAATTGCGGCTTCGTGGCACTGGTGAAACAGCCACCTGCAACATATAAAAAAGTACGTGGAGCCGACGAAGCCGACCAGCAGAGGGCAAATACGGTGGCGAGGCACTCGGCACGGAGCTGGACGCTAACAGGCTCAGCTCCGTGGTGCTTCTAGCGCAGGGCTGTCAAAACCGCCACGCGGCGGCGGCGGTGGTGCCTCCAGTGCAGCGTGGCCGAAGCCGCCGCACGGCGGTGGTGGTGGCGGCTCGGCCGTACAGGCACGGACGCAGCCGAAGTTGAAATACGAAGAGTACCACGTCGGCACGGCGTTCCTCGGCGCCGGATCCTGGTAGATGAGCTTGCCTATAGGGGAAGAGTAAGCGGCATACACACAAACGCTCGGAGGTCCGCGCGAACGTGTCGGATCTGCGCTGGACCCTAAGGCGGCGCCTCTGGCGCCGCTCCTGAAACGCTCCGCGTGCCAGGGACGAGGGGGAGGAGGAGGAGGAGGAGGAGGAGGAGGAGGAGGAGGAGGAGGAGGAGGAGGAGGAGGAGGAGGAGGAGGGAGGGGGGGAGGAGAGGAGGACGGAGGAGGAGGAGGAGGAGGAGGAGGAGGAGGAGCAGGAAGAGCAGGAGGAGAAGGAGGAACAGGAGCAGGAGCAGGAACAGGAGCAGGAGGAGGAGGAGGAGGAGGAGGACGGGGGTCCAGCGTCCAGCGCAGATCCACGAAGTCCTCGCGGACCTCCGAAGACGTTCGTCTGCATCGACTTTGTCCTTCCTCGATCGCCGTCTGCATCGATGCCCCACGCTTCTGCTTCGTCCCTCCGGCCCGACGCGGGGGAGAGAGGCTGTTCTCCGTCATCCACCGCGTCCGCGCCAGGGGAGCGCCCCGCAATGGTGCACGCGTCGCGGAACTTCGGCCAAGGGTATTTGCTTCTCGAGGATCCTGTTGGAGGCTTGGAAGCGGTCACCAGCACCCACACACGGGGCTGCCTCCGCGGGGGGAAGATGGTCTTGAACTCTGGTGCCAGCGGTAATCTTCCGGCCACCCAGGGAGCCCGAGGTGCGGGCAAAACTTGTGTCCGTATCCACAGCAGCTTGGAGTCTCGGGCTCCCTTCCCCAGAAAGCCGAGGCGCCCTGGATATGCATAAAAATCTGGCCCCTACTGGAGGCTCGAACTTCATACAGATCCCGTGCGCCTCGGCCTTGCGGCGCCCCTTCCACGAAAGTCCGAGACGCCCTGGTAAAGATTGCCCGCACGAAGGTCACCACCATTTCCGAAATCGGGTCCTAGACATGCGACGTCCTGATTCTTTCCAGACGGCGTTCCTGGAAGTCCCGACCCTTTCCCTGGGGCCGGTGTTTCGTCCCGAATCGTTTTTTGACTCGCCACGGGGCCCGGCGAGGGCCCCCCGGGGCCGAACATAGCGAAACACTTGCCGTCCTGACTTCTCGTACGACGCGAGCATGTCTAGGGCACGAAGATTACAGAGCAGTTTAATATTGGGGATGTTTGAAAGTGTTGGATTTTTCATGCATGATTAACTTATGAATGCAATGTATGCATGAACTCGCCGCTGTTTTTCATACCAAATCCCTGCATGTGCAATGCATGATCCGCACGCGGAGCATGTACTACAAACGGCACTGCACCACCATCGCCGAGACCGGGACCATCCTCCCTCGGTGGAGGCCAACGCCCGACGCTGCTGCTGGTGCCCACCCCCGGCCCCGCCGCCCTCCTGGCTCCCCGGGCCGCGCCCGGAGCGCCTCGTAGAGCGCGGCGACCTGCGCCTCCGTGCAGCCCCCGCCCCTGCCGGGGGGGACACAGGAGTTGGGTTCGGGGGGATTCGAGCTCCCAGCAGGCCTGCTCGCGTCGCAGCAAAAAATCAGGGCGGGCAGTCTGTCCATATATTCGGCCCCGGGGGGCCCTCGCCGAGCCCCGGGGGCAGCAGAGAACGACTCGGGGCGAAAAGCTGGCCCCAGGGAAAGGGTCGGGACTTCCGGGGACGCCGTCCTGAACAAATCAGGACGTCGCAGGTCTGCCTGGCGGGGGTCATCATGGCAATGACGAGACCCAGTCTATAACATCCGGCGCGAGCTCCAAACATCCCCCACGAACCCCGGACCGCCGGAATCAAGGACGCGCTCGTGGAAGAGCGTCGGCAAGCCCGAGTTCCGGCTGACTCGAGTCTTACGCTTCCCCGGTCCTGGCCCAGGCGAGCCACTCCTCGAACCACGGCTGCCAGTCCTCCCGGCCGGGCGGCGGCGGGTGCTCCTGAGAGGAGAAGGAACGGCATGCGCATAAGCTTTTTGGGCACTCCGCGCGGGGTTCTCGGATCCGCGCTGGGACCCCTATCCCTGGCGCGCGGAGCGCGCTGGGGGCGGCGCTGGAGGCGCCGCCGGGGGGGGGCCCAGCGTGGATCCAAGGAGTCCGCGCGGAGCGCCAAAAGTTCATGTTTGTGGCGTGCTTCTGGCTTGCACAGAGGTGGGGTAGGGGCAAAGCTGGAGGGAAAATCGCTCCAGACGGCCCATGGAAGAATTGTTCCAGGGGCCGTTCGGAGCGATTTTCTCAAGGAAACACGTAGAACGGCAGCATCTGGTTCGGCTCGTTCCCCAGCCCCACCTTTGGGCCCATTTTCCACCACCACTACCATATGTAGGAGGAGGAGGAGGAGGAGGAGGAGGAGGAGGAGGAGGAGGAGGAGGAGGAGGAGCAATGACCAATGAGCAATGCGCGGGGAGTCCAAATGAGTTACTCGAATCTCATACCGTAAAACTGGCAACAGACTCTGCGCGACCCGACTTCGAGGGTGAACGGGTCAACCTTAAACATGATCGACCCACGAACCCAGAAAGGAATATAGAAATGTAAAACATGGCAGCGTTTCCAAAGACACCTGATTGGGTGACGGGCAAGTGCAATGCTGATTGTATCGATCTTGATGTGCAGGCCGAGGGCTGTGCTGTGCTGCGCCGTGCTGAATTGCGATGTGCCGTGCCGCGGTTGTGCTCTATAGCGTCGTGGATCGAGTCCTCCTTTGCATCCGAGTCCTGACCGAACTGATCTGGATCTTAAGCTCGAGCTGCCTGAACACATAGTATCTGCCCCAGAGCTAATTGACAGGGGGACATGCCAGGCGACGTGCCAGGGGACGTGCCATGGGGTCGCACCGTGGGACGTGCCAAAGGGACGCGCTACGGAACGTGCCAATGGATGTGCCACGGAATGTGCCAGGGGACGCGCCACGCGACGTGCCAGGGGGACTCGCCAAAGGACGCCCCGCGGAACGTGCCAAGGAACGCGCCAAGTTGCAATGCTGATTGCATCGATCTTGATGTACCGTGCCGAAGTCTGTGCTGTGCTGCGCCGTGCTGAATTGCGATGTGCCATGCCGCGGTTGTGCTCTATAGCGTCGTGGATCGAGTCCTCCTTTGCATCCGAGTCCTGACCGAACTGATCTGGATCTTAAGCTCGAGCTGCCTGAACACATAGTATCTGCCCCAGAGCTAATTGACAGGGGGGCATGCCAGGAGGACGCGCCGCGGAACGTTTCAAGGGACGCGCCAGGCGACATGCCAGTTGACGTGCCGTGGGGGCACACCGCGGGACGTGCCAAAGGGACGCACTACGGAACGTGCTGGGGACAAGAGTTTCGCTCGAGACATCCTGTCAACATCCTCAGTCTAGACATCCGCCCGAGCGACCTGGACACGTGAAAACAAACGTCTCGCTCAACGCATCCTCAACACATTCTCATGCTAGGCATGCACCTGGGCGAACTGGACACGCGAAAACAAGTAAAAAACGGGGCAGGGGACCCCCCCCTGGCAAGGCCAGCACCGCCCCCGAACGACGACGAGCCTCGAGCGCCACGCAGGCGCGTGAGAGGAGCCGTCTGGGGGACCGACTATAGACTGGACCTGCCGCGTTTTGCCCTCTGGCCCGCCCCCCTTGCGTGGAGCCTGCTTCGGAGCCACAACTAAGGGGATCGGGGGAAGATCACGACTAGAAAAAGTATCAAAACTCGTGGCCTGGAACGGGTCGGGGATGGCCCCCCGGGCCACTAAAAAAGCTAAACGTTCACTGCCTACAAAAGCACCCGTGTTCAGGTTTCTTCTGGCCCGCGCTCCTTCTCTCGAGCGCGGGCGGCTTCTCTCTCTGGATACGTCCACACGCCGCTGGCTCAGTCGCTCGTGCCCTTGTCGATCAGGGCGAGGAGGCGCGATGCCTCCCTCTTCAGGGGCCCACGAGGGGCAGTCCCCATGAGCTGCGCCGCCCTGAAAACCTCAGCGGTGTTCAGGAACTGAACCATCAACGACCTCGCCTCGCGACCTGGCTCGCCGTGCGAGAAAGCGAACGTCAGGCGGCCCTTTGGCGTCTTGCCGCCGTCCTCCCCCCGAGCCTTTGTTTTGCTCGCGTGCTTGTACTTGCGACGCCCGAAGTGCAGCGCGTGCTTGGTCACGTGCTGCGGGGTCATCGCATTGACGTGCTGCTGGAAGTACTGATAGAACACCTTCTACTCGCTCTCTTTGTACCCGTCGCTGCCATCGCGAAACGCGCCCGCGCAGTTGACGAGGTGGATGGGCGCCGCCGCCCACGGCTGCACATGTGGTGGCCCCCTTGCGCGGTAGTCGATCTTCTCGCCGTTCATCTGGCGCTAATTGAGGCTCTTTGAGACGGCGTCGCACTTTGCGTCTGCGTCGATCATGATCTGGGTGGCGCCCTTGTCTTCTTCCTGTAGCTCCCATGTCTGAAAACCGTGCCCGCTAGGTTGGCCAGCTCGCGGGCGTCGTTGAGGCACGGCTTTGCCACCGCCTTGACCAGCGCTTCGTACGTGTCTCCGTCTTCGCCTTGCGCTGCCCTTCCTTCATCGAATCTTGTGGTGGCGGTGCCGATTCTGGGGCCCCATCTGCCCCGCGCTTCGCAGGGGCCGAATTATCTTGCGCCGGGGAAGCCGCCTGCACTATCTGCCCTGTCGCAGACGCCGACGCTGCAGCCGACGCCCCAGCCATGGATGTTGGGCGGCCGTATCCGTTACCTCGCAAGAACTGGGCCAGGCAAATGGCTGCGTGAGTGCTGGCATAAATCGTCTAGGTCAACAGCCTCGAACTCGCACAGGGGACGCGCCGGCGTCGATGGGGGCTCCACAGGGCGCGGCGTCCTACCCCCCCCCCCCCCCCCACACCGAATCGACACTGCCCCCTTAGTAGAGCTGAAACTAGATGCCCTGCTGCACATGCCTTGTCCCAGAATGCTTCCCAGCAACGTATGCATATATTTGCTGGAATCAAGATGTGACATAGTGATCGGTAACCATGCCGTGAACGCAGATGGGTCATGAGTCTCCTTTTTGTGGTAGACCTTTCCCCGCGATCCCCAACTTGGCAAACAAACTCAGGCTCCTCAGGATCCGCAATAACCTCGGGGTTGGCCTGTGGAGCCAGCTCGGCGCACTCAGGGGGCGCCGCATGGGAACCAAGACTTGGCCAAGAAGGGCCCCGTGGAGCCCCCGAGAGATATGAGAGTGTAGCGGTGCAACTCGCCCGCGTACTTGCACAGGCTGAGGTCGACCTCTTGGCCGCCCCATTCAGCGCGCAGAAGGGCGAGGGCGGGGTCCACTTTCATCGGGGCAAGAGTCCACCTTGCCACTGGACGGCAGAACGTCGTCGAAAAAGGCAGCCACCACGAACGGGCCCCCCATCGCTCCTCCCATCCCCGTCTTCACGCTAACTCTCCCTCATGAGTTGGTAGTAAAACGACAGTGTCCCGCTGCCTACGCTTACATGATACAACGCGTTCAGGCTGGACTAGCGCATGCAGAGCATTGCACAAAGCTTCCCAACTCGTGCTACCGAAGGCGTGCTCGTGCCTTTCAGGCTGGCCCCGGAACTCCACCCCGCCTTCCGTTGTCTCCGCCCCGCCACCTGGGGGGCCAAAGTGGCCCCTTCCTTCCCCCGATGCCCCTGGAAGCTATAATCCTCGGGGGCCAGCTCGTTGGGCATCAGATCCGCGAGAAAAAGCTTTGCCTGCGACTGGCAGCACATGGGCCGCGCGCTTTCCCCGCGGCCCAGGCTGGGCCGATTTGTGCTAAGCGCATCCCCGAGACACATTCCAATGCATCTGCGCTAAATCTGTAATTCGAATCTTCTTCATCCCGTCCAGGGGAATCTCTAAAAACAGGGCGGGCCCCTTGGGGGCCCTAGGCGCTCCCAGACCAGGGCGCTGACGATGCATGCCCTGAACAAGACGTAGCGTCTGCCACCGGGGGCCCCAGGGGGGGCGCGCCTTCAGGGACCGCTCTGCGCTTCGTTGCTTGGCGAACATAGCGACGCAAACGACCGATGTCTGGGTGTCCTAGCTGTTCGGGTCGGTGATCGTATCGAGCGACATCGTATATCTGGCCCATGTCGATGTCGTTTCGCCGTGCTCGCCACTCGCCTAGGTCGATCCGCTGAACCTCCATCCCACGCCCCCCCCCCCCCCGGCCGCGACCACGCGTCGAGTCGCGCTGAACTGGCGGTGGGAGCTGCTCCGAATATTCTGCCATCCCGCTTTTTTGCTGAGAACCTGCACCTAGCTGCCCGCCGAGCCCATCCCATTGCTTCGCACATGTTGCGCCTGGCCCAAGCCTCGGAAGACGCCTGGACGCACGGCTCACGAACAGCCCGAAGATGCTCCCGACGAAGGAGGCGCAGCCTGTGGGAGAGGACCTTCGGCTCTTGCTCGGCTGCCTCCAAGTCAACGGCGCCCACCCGAGTGGCACGCACTTCGGTTCGTTGTTTGAGAAGGTCTCGCCGAAGTTGAGCCCAGTGCGCGCACTCATCAGGGAGGTCCGACGGTTTGGCGAAAAAAAACTCGCTGCCCACATCGTTCAAGCAATGCTCCGGAAGCTCGAAGGTGCGATCAGGCGCGTCCTGGTCGTGGGCCTGGAGCCTCTCGTCGAAATGGTCCTCCAGCCACTTACCGACGCCCTCCACGAAGTCCAAGCGACGGTCGTCCCTCTTGATCGCCCCGAACAGGGCCGTCATGTCCCATGTGGGCGGCGCCTGGACCTTGTCACAGTCCTGGAGTCCTCGCGGGTGAAGAAACTCCAAGTATACAGGTACATGGTATCGCGGAGGCCGTCCTTGTTGAGCCTGGAGCTGGGCACCGATACGCCGTAGCGTATGACAGCGTGTGGTATGCGACGCCCAGCCGTGAGGAAAGACAATGAAATCGGTCAAACTGCTTGGCCCCTCTGGGCCTTTCCCATGGAAGGTGGCTTCGTATTTGCCGAAGGTGTTGGCGGGCATCAGATGCTGCACAGAAAGAAGGTCCGCCGTCAACTCACCCGCCCCTCTATGCCTGCGTTCCCGCGTGCGCACACTTCCCACAACCTCACTCTGGTACTCCTGCCAGTTCGCGCCGATCTTCCTGCAGCCGATGCCGTCATTGAGGTCAACGGAGAAGATTGGCACGCACCGAGTTGGCATCAAAGACAAGCGTTCACGCCACCCTGCGATCATCTGGGCGACTGTCTGAAAGTACCCCGGGCCCACCCCACGGCTGCGGGGTTGATGGGGGGAAGTAGAGCACGCCTACGCACACGTCGAGGACGCCCTGGCGAACTCGGGCGGCCAGACATCGGCCTCCCAGGTCAGGCGGGCTCGGGAATACTCTCCGAACGTGATGGTCGCGAAAGCCACGTCCGAGAATAGTAGCCACTCCCGCACTCGAGTTGGTATAAAGTCCAGGCGAAACTGCTGCCTCAAGAAGCAGTCGACCACCGATCCGCCGCTGGAGGACATGACGAGCCTCACGGCAGGCGCTCTGGATGCCAGCCAACAGCGCGACATCCATGTTACGCGTGCAGTCGGTGACTTCCTGGAGGCGGTCACCCACAGCCCACATAGGGTTCCAGCCGAACGCCCTCACCTTCGCCATGTCGGTGGCCGCCCTGTCCTCTTAGAGACGGCCGCGTGGCCGAGGCGCCTGGGTTGCATCTTCGGAATTCGGTCTCGGGCCCCGTTTGCTCGAACCTTTCGAGCCCGGGGGCCGGAGGAGGAGGAGGAGGAGGAGGAGGAGGAGGAGGAGGAGGAGGAGGAGGAGGAGGAGGAGGAGGAGGAGCTGCTCATCCTCCCTCCTCCCCCGTCCTGCACGTGGTAGTTATAGTGGTGGTGGAACATTTGCCCACCAACCCTGGATATCTAGGGAGCCCGCAAAGGACGTACGCGCCCAGCTATGTACACGAGCCCGGCCCCTCGACCCGCGAGACCGGCCGCGTGATACGAACATTCGCGCAACGCGAACTCCCGAAACCAGCGTGGATTCATGTACGTGTACGTCCTTCTTTCGCTCCTGGGATAATGCGGGATGACGATTAATACAAAATGGGAGAGAACGATTAAAACATAGTTTTCTGCTATTTCTGCACAAGTTTCTGGCTGGAGGAGAACGACTTTGAAAATAGTTTTCCAGCCCGCGGCCGGTGTTTCCTGATCGCCATCCCGGGCGCCGCCGCGCGAACACGACCCCTGGTCATTTATTCATCGTCATCCTCCACTAACCCTCCCTCTGCGAGAACCCCGGCTCGAGCTCCTCCATCCACTCGAGGGCCCTGTCGAGGGTGCCGGGCGGGAGGGGCGGCGCAGGCGGCGGCTGGGCACCCCGCGGGGCGCGGCAGGGCGGCCACGCGCCGCCCCTGCGGGGGTCCTCCGCCCGCAGCGTGGCGTAGGCCTGCTCGATCTCCTCGGGCTCGAAGCCCTGCCGCCGCAGCTCGTCGAACCACCTGTGGCGGCGCGCCGGCCACGGCGACGACGACGACGACGGCGGCGACGACGACGACGACGACGACGACGACGACGACGACGACGACGATGGCGGCGGGAGGCCTTCGAAAGAAGGCGGAGGGCGTCTAAGATCGGCCACGCGCAAGAGCGACCCTGGGCAAGAGTGACCTCTGGTGCGCGGCTCAAGGGGGGACGCAGGGTGGCCAAACCCAGGCGCACGCCGCTGCCACCGCTCCGCGCTCAGCGATGGGGGGGCCCCACAGGGCCCGCACGGAAAGGCCACTCCGGCGAAAGGTCACTCTCGCGTCTGGTCGATGCGAAGGCAGAGGAGGGCCCTGTGGAAGCCTTCCCGGGAACCCAAGGAGGCCTTCTCAGAAGCAGCCAGGCCTTTCTTTACCCCCAGGCCCCCGACGTCGTGAGTTCTCCGTGGCGTGACCCCCAGGAGCCTGGACCCCTTCCCCGGGAGCGGTTCTCCCCCCTGAGCCGTTGATTTGTGAAGGGGCCCTGGAACACACCAATGAATACACACAGATAACAAGATTCCCCATATATGTTCCTATATTTTCTGGGTTTTTGTCTTCCCCCCCAACTCCCATATTTTCCCATATTTTCCTGGGAGTCGACGATTGATTGTGTCTGTGTGTTTTTTCCCCTCCTGAATGTGGCGGCCCCGAGGCCTGGGAAAGGCCCCGGGAGGCAGAGGATAACGAAAATAGCCTCCCGCTGTTGTGTTGACTCTCTCACGACGCGGGGGGGCCCGGTTCTCCGCGGGGGCCCCGCCGTCTGGGAAGGGCCCCGGGCAAGCTCCGAGCAGGCCGTCCCCCTGGGCGGCCCAAAAGGGGGTCCAGCTGCAAGGGGTTGGTGCAATCTATTCGGGGCAGTTGTATTGCAAACGCATTGCGCTGGAGAGCTGTATTGCATGGTGTCGCAACTAATGTGCTGCACGCGCACATCCAGCAAGACATCTGCGCCCCGGAAGGTATTGCACGCCCCAAGTGTATCGCAACCCCACAAATCGATTGCACCAAAAATCTATTGCACCACCCCCTTGTCGCTGGACCCCCTTTTGGGTCAACCCGAGGTGCCCCCGGCCATCCGCCGATGCGACTTCAGCGCGCGGCTGCAGGGGTCCCGACCCCTTTTCCCCGGGGGGGGGGGGTTTTCGGGAGCGGCCAAGAGGGGGGGCGTCCAAGAGGGGGGGGGCATATCATGGCAGGCGGCAGGTGCGCGGCCCAGGGCGGGGGGGGCCAGGGACGTCATGAAAGAAGATGAGGCGCCATGACATCTGAGAGAACCTCATGGCCCACGCCATGATACCCACCCACCCCGAGTCATCACCCCCTCCTTTGCCGCCCCCGCGTGCTTCATCCCGGATCCATTGGTCCCCGGGCCCGATGGCGGACCCTGGAGGCCGAGATCCAGGAAAAAACCAGCCGGGCCGAGAAAAAATCCGATCCTCGGCTCGGGGATGGACAGACCCCCCTGTAGCAAAACGTGGCTCAGCGAAAACGGCCTGCGGCCCAGACCTGGCGGGCGCAGGCCTGGAAAAGAACGGCCACGGCGCCCTCTCGAGAAGCGAACACGGACAATTCACGAATCGACGTGTCACTGTTGGGGGTTCTGTCCGCCCCCGATCGGCTCTCCGGGCCCCTCTCGCGCAGCCCCTCGCCCCCTTCCTTGCGCCGCCGCCGGCACCGGGCGAACCACGGCTCCCACAGGTCCTCGCGGCGGGGCGCAAGAGGGAGAGGTCCTTGGGAAACACGGGTCCTGGGCCAGTCGAAAGGAACAGCACACAAGTTTGAAGCACATCAATGTAATGTACAGCCGACCCGTATCGTAAGGACGCACCCTACGTAGGCACGATCGCGTCGCAAAAAAGAATCAGGACGGCAAGCGTTTCGCTATTTTCGGCCCTGGGGGGCCCTCGCCGGGTCCCAGGGCCGTCAAAAAAACGACTCGGGACGAAAAGCCGGTCCTGAGGAAAGGGTCGGGACTTCCGGGGACAGCGTCTTGAAAAAATCAGAGCGTCGCATGACTGGGTTCTGTATACAGCCGACCCATATCATCAGGACGCACGATGAGGATGCAGGGGCCTTGGAAGGCCAGGTCGACAGTTTGCGAGCGGGGCGCGGCCAGCGGAAGCAGCCAAGGAAGGGCCGAGGAGGCAAGGATGCAAGAGTCCCCTCGGGAAGCTTGCCCATCCTCACTATGCGGGTTGACTGTAGTCTTAGATCGGGCGTGTCCTCCTACAGGCGGATTTGGGAGAAAAAATGCAAATATTCAGAACATATTTCTCGAACAATCAAAAATAATAGAAAAATCGTCCCCAGACTATCTTTTACTATGTTGGACTATTCCTCCTGTAGGCTGTAGAGGGGGATGCCCGACTTAACCGTGGTCGATCCCCTACTCGAGCCCTGGGGACTTCCACCAGGGCCATCGCTCCCTCGAGTGACTCCCTTTGCTGACGGCACGGGCCCGTGGCCCCTTAGGTAGCTCCACAGAAGGAGCCAATGCCACCGCCCGCACGCGTCACCCACACCCACTCCGGCACACCCCTCACGCGTTTCGTGGCCCCATAGAGAGCTCCACCGAAGGCGCCAGTGCCTGCGTTCGCATGCGCCCACCACACCCATCTCGGCGCACCCATCACACGTTTCGCGGCCACATGAGGAGCTCCACCCACGGTCCCAGTGGCTGCGTTCGCATGCGCCCACCGCACCTATTTCGGCACACCTATCACGCGTTTCGCGGCCCCACAGGGAGCTCCACCGACGGCCCTAGTGGCTGCTTTCGCATGCGCCCACCGGGCAAATTTTGGCACACCCCTCACACGTTTCGTGGCCCTTTTGGGAGCTCCTCCGAATGCGGTACACACAACGACGGTAATCATAACTGCATATGGTTGGGTCCTTCGCCAGGCTAATTTTTAAATCCGCGGCCCCAAAGGTCCCGACCCCGTCCCCAAGGGTGGTTTGTCGACCTGGATCCATTGATGGTCCCCAGGCCCGCAACAGACCCCAAAAACCCCAAATCCAGGAAAAAGCGCCAAATTTAAAAAATCAGATCCTCGGATCCCTGGTCGGGAGCACGATCACTGCAAAGCCCAGCGTCGACCGAACCCGGCTACGGTCCACAAACCGACGAACACGCCCGAAAACCTCGAACCTCGAACCCGCACCTCGAACCTCGAGTCTCGAACCTGGGTCCGACTGCAACTTCACACAAAGACTTCAAACACCTCAAGGGTTTGGAGTCCCGAAACGGTGCGGTGACAGGCCGTGCGGTGAACTCGAAATCCCCCAAGACCTCACCGCACGGTCCGTCACCGCACGGTCTTGGAACCGCGGAGGCCCCCAGTCGCCCGAGACGTCCTCGGAGAACGACCCGAGTCCCAAAACCGTGCGGTGACCCCGAACCCCCACCGACTCACCGCACGGTGTGGTCACCGCCCCGTTTCGGGGCCCCCGACAGGGCCCTCCCCGCGGGAAGGCGGCGCTCCTGGTCCTCCGGAGGCGGGCTCTCCCCCAGGCGCGCCCTCGCGGCCGCGAGGCACTCGGCCCCCCCGGCCGGCGCGCCGGAGGCGGAGCTGCCGCCCGCGTGCTCGGAGGGCTCGGCCTCGAACGGCCACCTTCTGCGCGGGGCGGGGACGCTAAGCACGGCGACGGCGACGACGATACGACAAAGACGGCGGCGGCGCCGACGACGACGACGACGACGACGACGACGACGAGGCCGCCGACGAGGTCGCCGACGACGACGACGACGACGACGACGACGACGACGACGACGACGACGACGACGACGGTGACGACGGCGACGGCGACGACGATACGACGAAGACGGCGGCGGCGCCGACAACGACGACGACGACGACGACGAGGCCGCCGACGGGGTCGCCGACGAGGTCGCCGACGACGACGACGACGACGACGACGACGACGACGACGACGACGACGACGGTGGCGGCGGCGGCGGCGGTGACGACGGCGGCGGCGGCGGCGACGGCAATGACGACAACAAGGCCGCCGACGACGACGACGGCGACGACGACGGCGACGTCGGCGGCGGCGGTGACGACGGCGGCGGCGGCGGCGACAAAGAAGACGAGAGCAAGGCCGACGCCGACGACAACGACGACGACGACGACGGCGGCGGCGGCGACGACGGCGGCGTCGGCGGTGACGGCGGCGGCGGCGACGACGGCGATGACGACGACGACGACAACGACAACGACAACGACGACGACGACGACGACGACAGCGACAACGGCGGCGACGACGAAGACGACGACGATGACGTGACGACAATGACGACGAGGCCGACGACGACGACGACGACGACGACGACGACGACGACGACGACGACGACGACGACGACGACGACTGCGGCGACGACGACGGCAACGGCGGCGGCAACAACGACGGCGGCGGCGGCGGCGACAACGACGACGACGACGACGAGAACGACGACGACGGCGGCGGCGGCGGTGACGACAACGGCGGCGACGGCGGCAACGGCGGCGGCGGCGGCGGCAGCGGCAACGACGGCGGCGGCGGCGGCAGCGGCCACGACGACGACGACGACGACAACTACGAGGCCGAGGCCGACGACGACAACGACCACGACGAAACGACAGCGGCGGCTGCGGCGACGGCGGCGGCGGCGACTACGGCGGCGGCGGTGGCGACGATGACAACGACGAGGACGATGCCGACGCCGACGACGACGACGGCGGCGGCGGCAACGATGGCGGCGGCGACGACGACGACGACGACGACGAGGACGACGACGAGCACGAAGCCAGCGACGACGACGACGACGACGACGACGACGACGACGACGACGACGACGGCAGCGGCAGCGGCGACGACGGCGACGACAACGACGACGACGACGGCGGCGACGGCGGCGGCGGAAGCGACGGCGACGATGCCGACGAAGACGACGGCGACGACGACGACGACAACGGCGACGACGGCACAACGACGGCGACGACGACGGCGGCGGTGGCGGCGACGGCGGTGGCGGCGATGACCACGACGATGAGGCCGACGACGACGACGACGACGACCACGACGACGACGACGAGCACGAGGCCCACGAGAATGACGACGACGACGACGGCGACGATCGCGACGATGAGTTCAACGACAAACAACGGCGAGGAGGCCAACGACGAAATCGGCGACGAGGCCAACGGGGCCTCGTCTGGAAAGAGACCGCTTTCGGCTTCGGCCCGTTTCGGCTCCGGCCCGTTTCGGCTCCATCGGCCCGTTCCTGCCTCGGCCCGCTTCGGCTTCGGCCCGTTTCGTCTAGGCCCGTTACGGCTCCAGCCCGAGCCGCTCCAGGCCGAAGCCGAGACGCGCCGAAGCCGAAGCGGGCCGGGGCCGACACGGGCCCGACGCCGAGACGGGCCCGACGCCGAGACGGGCCGAACACCAAACTGGGCCTGTAGCCGAATCGGGCCACTGTCGTCTGTCCCATGGCGCCGAGCCATCCGTGCCGCATCCGTGTCGAGTTCAGCTCGAGTCCGTGTCGAACCTGTGGCAACTCCGTGCCGGATTACGGGACGGGAGAGAGGCCCCCCGACGGTGCAGAGAGAGCCACCAGCCGAAGGCCGCGCCGCCGCCGCCGGTCGAGGCGGCCGAGGCTGCTGGCTTGGTCTCCTCGCCGCCGCCGCCGAGGCCGAGCAGCGGCGAGGAGAGCTGCGGCATCCACCCGCCGCCGCCGGCCGAGCTGGCCGAGGAGGCTGCGGGCCTGGGGTCCTCTGCGACAGCGGTGCCCATGTGCACCGCTTGCCCTGTTTGGCCTCCCCTCGGGCCCCGTCCCGACGCGGTGCGATGCACAGCTCGTCGGCCACGAGCTATGCACCGTGCCACGCCTCCTGGGCATGGCGCCTCGGGAGGCGCCAACGCAAGACTGTACGGTGCACGCGGGCCGCCCGTGAAGTCCTCGCCGCCGCCGCCGAGGCCGAGCAGCGGCGAGGAGATCTGCGGCATCCACCACCACCAGTTCTCCTGCGCCTCCTCCGGCGCGGGCTCGGGCCCAGGACTGGCCTGGGGGGCCAGAAGATGCCGATGCCGCCGCTCCTCCTCCACTCCCTCTCCTCATGGATACCTCCGCCCTGTCGCACCCCGAAGCAAATTGTTAGGGCGGGCCGGGCGCTTCGCCTGAGACTTCCTCACCACTTGTGACCCTGAAGCTTCAAAAGTGAAACCGGATTCACAGATGGAGGGCGGGTCGTTTGCAAAATGTGGCTCTCGCCTGAGAGCCGCGCACATTCGCTTCCATAATTGAAGAGCTTCACGGATTGAGGGCGGGTGGTTTTCAAAATGTGGCCCTCGCCTTGGCGCCGCGCACATTCGTTCTAAACATTCGCAAAAGCTTCTCGCATTGAGGGCGGTGGTTTTCAAAATGTGGCTCTCGCCTTAAAGCCGCGCCCATTCGTTTTAAACATTTGCAAGAATTTCAGGGATTGAGGGCGGGTGGTTTTCCAAATGTGGCTCTAGCGTCAGCGCCGCGCACATTCGTTTTAACACACTTGCAAGAGTTTCACGGATTGAGGGCGGGTGGTTTTCAAAATGTGGCCCTCGCCTTAGCGCCGCGCACATTCGTTTTAAACATTTGCAAGAGCTTCACGTCTTGAGGGCGGGTGATTTTCAAAATGTGGTTCTCGCCTTAGCGCCGCGCGCATTCGTTTTACAATGTGCAACGAGTTTCAGGGATCCCCATGATCAACGTACAAGAAATCGTGTTCTGGAAGGGTTCAGGATTACACGGGCGCAACAGTTATGCTGATTCGCTGTGTTGAAGTCCCGCAAATGGCGTTCTGGCGCGATTCTGGATCGTCAAGACGCAGTAGTCAGGTTGATCCGTGGCGTTGAAATCCCGAGAAGAATGTTTTGGCATGCTTCAGGATCTTCAAACTGTTGTCTTCCAGCGAGGCAGATCCGTCAATGGAAATGAACTGTTATAGGGGGAGGGGGCTTGGAGGGAGGATTAATTCCAATATCGTTGATGACTCTTGGGTTTACACTGATCCTCCTCCTCCTCCTCCTCCTCCTCCTCCTCCTCCTCCTCCTCCGTCCCTCCTCCTCTTGCTCCTCCTCCTCCTCCTTATCTTGCTCCTCCTCCCCTTCCACTCCTTTTCCTTATACATAACTTGTCCCTGCACACCGAGGCCAGTTTTTAGGGCGGGCTGTGCGTTTCGCCTGAGACTTCCTCACCACTTGTGACTCTGAAGCTTCAAAAGTGACAGCAACTTCACAATTGGAGGGCGGGCCGTTTTCAGAATGTGGTTCTCGCCTCAGCGCCGCGCGCATTCATTTGTACAAACTGCAAGAGCTTCACGGATTGAGGGCGGATGGTTTTCAAAATCTGGCTCTCGCCTTAGCGCCGCGCGCATCCGTTGTTAAAAAATGCAAGAATTTCGCGGATTGAGGGCGGATGGTTTTCAACATGTGGCTCTCGCATCAGCGCCGCGAGCATTTGTTTTAAACATGTGCAAGATTTTCACGAATTGAAGGCTGTTCCTTTTCAAAATGCGGCTCTCGCTTTAGCGCCGCGCACATTCGTTATTACAAGTTGTAACGAGTTTCAGGGATCTCCATGATCAACGTACAAGAAATCGTGTTCTGGAAGGGTTCAGGATTACACGGGCGCAACAGTTATGTTGATTCGTTGTTGAAGTCCCACCCATGGCGTTTTGGCGCGATTCTGGATCGTCAAGACGCAGCAGTCAGGTTGATACATGGCGTTGAAATCCAGAGAAGAACGTTTTGGCATGATTCAAGATATTCGAGAGAGCGTGATCCACCGCCGCCTTACTGTGGAAAATTGCCAACCTTTTCCTCCGGAGCCCGTGGTTCGCCCCCCCCCCCCTCCGAAAATCCCCCCCCCCTCTGCTGGAACCCCATCCCCCCCCCCCCCCTCCCCCGGCAAAACCCCCCCTCCCCTAACCCCCCCCCCCCCCTCCCCCTCGAAAACCGGGGGGGGGTCACTACCGGTTCGAACCCTCCCCCCCCCCCCTCCGGATCCGGAAAACCGGGGGGGGTCACTACCGGTTTGAACCCCCCCCCCCCTCGAAAACCGGAGGGGGTCACTACCGGTTCGACCCCCCCCCCCACGCACCGCCAGCAAACGACTCCCGGTCCCTACCACCGTCCGCATCACATCCCCCACTGTTGTTCCCAGCACCACTGTCCTCACCACCACTGTCCCCACTGGTTCCACCACCGTCCCTACTGTCCCCACCAGTGCCCCCACCACTGTCGCACTGTCCCCACTGTCCCCACCACTGTTCCCACCACGGTTCCACTCTCCCCACTGTCTCCACGGCCCCAACCACTGCCCGACTATCCCCACTGTCCCCACTGTCCCACTGACTCCTCCGCTGTCCCACTGAGCTGTCCCACTGTTCCCACCACTGTCCCCACTGTCCCCACCACTGTCCCCACTGTACCTCTGTCCCATTGTCCCACCGCCGTCCTCGCCACCGCCTTTACCACTGTCCCCACCACCATTGTACCCTCCACTGTCCCACTGTTTCCACCTCATTCCCATTGTCCCCACACCACTGTCCCCACCACCACCGTCCCCACCACTGTCCACTGTCCCCCCTGTTCCCACCATTGTCCCCACCACTGTCCCCACCACTACCGTCCCCACCACTGTCCCACTGTCCCCACCACTGTCCCGCTGTCCCCTCACCACTGTCCCCACCAACACCGTCCCCACCACTGTCCGCACCCCCACTCGGTTTTCGAGGGGGGGGGGTTCGAACCGGTAGTGACCCCCCCCCCTTTTAGTGACCCCCCCCCCTTTTCATGATGAACTGGGGGGGGGGGAGGGGTTCGAACCAGTAGTGACCCCCCCCGGTTTTCCGGGGGGGGGGAGGGGTTCGAACCGGTAGTGACCCCCCCCCATTTCGAGGGGGGCGGGGGGGGGGTTCGAACCGGTAGTGACCCCCCCCCCCTTTTCATGATGAACTGGGGGGGGAGGGGGGAGGGGGGTTCGAACCGGTAGTGACCCCCCCCGGTTTTCCGGAGGGGGGGGGGGGGTTCGAACCGGTAGTGACCCCCCCCGGTTTTCCGCCAGCAGCGGTAGAACACGCTCTTTCAGATATTCCAACGGTTGTCCTCCAACGAAGCAGATCCCTCAATGGAAATGAACCGTTGTAGGGGCCTATGAAGGGGGAGCTTGAAGGGAGGGTTAATTCCAACATCGCTGATGACTCTTAGGTTTACACTGGTTCTCCTCTTCATCCTCCTCCTCCTCCTCCTCCTCCTCCTCCTCCTCCTCCTCCTCCTCCTCCTCCTCCTCCTCCTCCTCCTCCCCCTCCCCCTCCCCCTCCTCCTCCAGGGGTGCGCTTCGGGGGGGCTCCAACCGTAGTGAGGCGGGCTTTTATTCCAGGGCGGGCAGCGCCATCGGCACAGTAGACACCTGCGGTAAGACACGTTGCGCTGAGTCGAACAAATATTTGGGGACGCTGGTCGTCGAACTCTAGAAAGTGTCCTAAGACCTACTGTGCTCCAGAGCGTCTGCGGGCCTCCAGGGTCCTCAGGGGATACGGAATACCCCGCGGGGAGCTGCTCGCAGGCCCGCTTCTTACTTCATGCGCGCCAGGAGCTGCTGCTTATCTCCTGGCGGCAGCAACCCTCTCGATACGCCATGCCCTGCGAACTGGTAGCAGGCCGCTCCGCTCCGGAGGAAGGGACGCTCGGGAACGCTTGCGGGACGACAGCGCTGGGGGGCTGGGACTCGGTTGGCGTCAGCGTGGTGGGCCAGAACCGACGGTGCGGCACGCGACGCCAAAGATCCCGATGAGATGATCGTGTACAATTGATGCTCTCCATTTTCTTCCAATCGTTAAGTGAGCGAAGCCAATTACACTCCCAATCAAACAATAATTTCAAAATCTTGAAAGTGCATGCCAGTACTGTGCCCTTTCCTCTCAGAACTTTGGAGAAAATCCAGCCGCGGTGACGAGCGCCCCAGACTTCCGATGTCTTGGGCTTCTCAATGCGAGGCCCCCAGAGGTCAGGACCTTTTCCCAATGGCCGGTTCGTTATCCTGAGCCGTTGTTTGAAAGCCCCGAGGCCCGGCGAAGGCCCCCAGAGGTCAGAAATCCCACTGGCCCTCCGGGCATAGGTGGTTTAACGAGTTTTGTCTTCTCTCTACCAAAACTCCCTCCTCCCCCTGCTCGGGGGAAAGGGGTTTTCACTGTTCCCTATTCATAGACGCCCCCTCCCCCTGGCGACGGGCAACCAACCAGAAACCATGAGGACACCACGCTCCCCCCCCCCACACCACCCCTTTCAAAAAACAAAACAAAGCGCATTATACCTCCACATTTGAAGCATGCGCGGCCAACCCGATGCGGCCCCCCCACCATCCCTTTCCAAATGCAATCCGCCGGCCCCCTTGCGGGGCCACCAGGCTGCGATGATGAGGATTGCAGCTCCCTGTGCCAGTTGCAATTTCCAGTTTCCACTTTTACAATCCGGCTTTCTGCTTCCTCACTGCTAATTGCTGCTGAAGGGAAGGGGGGGGGAGCTCAAAACCAGCTTTTTAACAACGCCCAAATCGCGTTGTCTGAATTCACGAGGGGGGCGCGGGACACGTAAAAATGCATGATACTCGCGTCCCCGAAGCCATCATCCCTAGTATATTACGCCATACTTGCGTCCCCGAGACCATAAATCGTTGCAGATTACACACGAAATTCGCGACCCCGAAGCCGGAATCCCTCGTATAGTATGTAATGATCGCGCTCCCGAGAATATAAACCAACGAAAATTTCAGAATGTTGGCGCCCCCGAAGCAATACACCTTGTTAGCAATTAAGAATTACTCGCGCCCCCAAGACCATAAACGCTTGTAAATTACACCATGCTTGCGTCCTCGAGGCCACAAGCCCGTGCAAATTGTACAAAATTCGCGTTCCCGAAGCCATAAACCTATGTAATGTACGCGATGCTTGCGCCCCCGAGGAGATCAACCACAAACCCTTGTAAGTTACGCAATACTCGCCTCCCCGAAGCCATACACCAATGTAAAGTTCATGGTATTCGCGCCACCGAATCCATAAACCATCGTGATTGAATATTGGCCCTCGCGTGAAGTCCT